CACCCACCCACCTCGGGCATTCTGCAGCTTTCGGCAAGAGCTCTTTCTTACCCTGCCTACCACCACGTGTCCGAGGAGCCTGGGACCAGCTGTCTTGCTCCGAATGTGCCCATTCTAGGTCTCCTGTGTAAGAGGAGGCACGTTACCGCACATCGGCCTTGGGGTTGGCTCACCTCCCTGTGCACCGCGAGCTCGGGGCGCCCGGGGCCGCAGCCTGGCCTGGCCCGCCTCGTGACCTTCCGTGGGGCGTGGTGGTGTATCTGTCTTCTAAATAATTTGATTTTCAGCCCACTCTCCCTTTCTGTCCCTTCTTACCACCGAAACAGTTACTTACCAGAGAAGTGTTTTGTTTAAAATGTTAACATGGCTGTACTAGGTTACTAGATCAGCCTTGAGGCAGGAGGGCAAGAGAGGGAGTTCCCTACAGAGACATGGCGCAGCAGTACTGGGAGAGCGAGACGCAGAGGGCTGCAGGGGATGGTGGGCCGAGTGCTCGCCTTCCTCCTCTCTCCCGACCGGGCACTCACCCACAGTGCCTTTCATCGGATGGCCCCACCTGGAAACCAATAGGAAGAGTCGTCCGCAGGAACTGGCTTCCCCTGGGTTGCCAAGCAGAGCAGGGCAGAGGACGGTAGGAGGCGAATCTGAGTGTAGGCGGGCAGGTGGCCAGGCCAGCCCCACACAGGGTCAGGCTGTGATGCGAGCCCCACACCACACCGGGGAAAGCTGGCTCTTGTTGCTTATGGGGCGATTCCGGTGGGACTCTGCCAGGAGACCCTGGGCCGAGCGTTTGAGCGACGTGGTATAAGGAAACCCTCCCAGGAGAAAAGAGCGAGCCAGCGAGCGAGCAGGGCGGGAGGGGCGCTGCCAGAGGAGGAGGCAGGTGCTGCTGGTCAAGAGGACCTGGTGCGGAGGGGGCGTCGGCGGGGTTGTTAGCCCCGAGTTTTCTCGTCTTAATCCTAGGGCGTTGGGCTGCGTAATCTCCTCTCCCCACAAAAACAGAACTGCATACCCCAGCCCTTGGGGACTGAGTCTGGGGGTGCAGCGCAGGTGGGAAGGACCTGAGAGGCCTGCTCTGTGCGTGGGGCTCTGGTGACAGCAGCAGGGACAGCAGCCCGCTGTGTGCTCACCCTCAGCCTCCAGCTGTGCCCTGTGATTCTTAGGGTGGTTTTAGTTTTTTGAAAGTTTTTTTGCCTTAGGGTGCTTGTGCGCTCAGGGCCAGAGACAGAGGGACAGTGAGAAATCACCCTGGGGGAGGTGGCCACTCTCCTCCTGGGACCGTGGGCACGCGCACGCTGGCCTGCGATGACGTTCGGGCCAGCCAGCCGGGACACAGACCACGGTCAAGCCCAGCGGCGCCTCCTCGCCGTCTGCTGACCCCCAGACCGGCCTCAGTGTCTGGTCGCGCGGTTTCCATTAGCTCCCTCTTATGCTTTAGTTGTACCGGTTCTGACTTTAGTTGGCCAGGTAACGTTACCCGCTTCCTCCGGTCCGTTTTTTTTTTTCTCTTCCTGAATCATTAGCGAGGCTCCCCCTGACCTGTCCTGTGCCCCTGCTCTGGTCGCGGGCTCTCGGTGTGTGTGCCGTGCTTGGCGGTCGGACTGCCCCGAGCCCCTGTGACCACGTGGTTAATGAGACCGGGTGTCTGCTTTGTGGTTGTCCTGCCTTACCCACCATTCCCGTTCTGCTGTTCTCGGTTACTGTGGTCAGACATGGTTTGAAAGTATTAAATGGGAAACTCCAGGAATAGACGATTTATTTATTTTGGAGAGGACCTCACACAGGCTCTCGTTGGGTCTTCACCTCTCTGAGATGCTGGGTTTTCCCCGTTTTCTAGACGACAACGTTTCAGGAGAGATGAATGACCTGCTGGGGCCCACTGTTTAGGTAGGGGCAGTGCCAGGGCTTCTTGTCTGTTCAGTATAGCATTTTACAAATCAGAGGCATGGTACTTCATGTAGTTCCAGCATTTTCACAGAAGAGAAGCAAATCCCCCTTGCCAGTGGCTTACAGAGTGAGCCCCACAAACCTCGTGTGCACGTGCCCTCACTCGGCCGCGCTGCTTTCTGGCAGGCCGTATCACGCAGAGGTCGCTCCACCGGCGTCATTAATGACAGTAGTGACACCTAGGTGCTTCGTTTGTAAATGCTTTCCTTGTGTCTCAAAAGTCTAAGAGCTGCCCGTTAGTGCCACCGTGAGCGTGGCGGGGCGGCGCCTGTGCGGCTGACCGTGCCGTCCGTCTGTCTTGGCAGCGCCAGCGCTGGACGTCGACTGGCAGAGCAACACCACCTTCGCCTCTTGCAGCACGGACATGTGCATCCACGTCTGCAAGCTGGGACAGGACAGGCCGGTGAAAACATTCCAAGGACACACGGTGAGGAGCAGGTTTCCCTTGAACGGGGTCACGGTGGGCCAGCAGGCGGCATGGTGCATGAGGCGCAGGACCCCCACATGGCGGTGGGCCAGCAGGCGGCATGGTGCATGAGGCGCAGGACCCCCACATGGCCAGCTTGGGCTCGCGTCTCGGACCTGGTGGCTCACTCACTTTCTCACTTTTCCTCTTTCTCTCACTCTGGGAAAATTAAAATAATAATAAAATTAAAATAAATAATTACTTAAAAAAGTAAAGTGATTGTGATGAACAGGTGATATTTCAAAATAGTTTTGAAGCATGTTTAATATGCAGGCAACAGCCCCGTCAGTGAAATGTAAATGTGTCTGCTGTTGTAGAATGAAGTCAACGCCATCAAGTGGGACCCCACCGGCAACCTCCTGGCCTCCTGTTCTGACGATATGACTTTGAAGGTAAGTGGTTGCGTGAGCGTGTGTGGAGGCGTCCACACGTTTTGGCTGCTCCGACCGTCTTAGGACAGTTCAGAAAGTCTCTCAGTGGAATGGACAAGCCTGAGCGAGGATCTGTCCTAGCCTTAGTGGTTCATCATTGCTTTTTGTGTTGTCTGAGATACGTAAAAGTCCTTCATGTGGCACGTTCTGTCAGAAGAGTGGCTGTGTGGTGGGAGTTATGGTGCTGATGTGTTAGTCTGGACTCCCCAGAGAAGCAGGACAGCTAGATGGGGGTGTGCGCGCGAGTGTACACGCACATGCGTCTTTGTGGAAAAAAAAAAAGGAATTAAATCCAAGTTGAGTTTAATAAAAACTTGAAGTTCATTTGAGGTGTTTTCATAGTACGCATTTGTAATGACCTTTTTAAAGACCCTCTATATATACATGTTATATATGTATATGTATAATGCTATATGATTAATAGGTAATATTTTTATATAATATATATACACATGTATATCATATGGTCGACAAACGTATGGTCTTTTTAAAGAACATATATTGGCTGTTGGAAAAGTCATGATGTATTTTTCTGTTCTTCTGTGTAGAAGTGTTAGGACTTTTCTGACAACCCAGTATACGTATGAGGTTTACTATGCGGACTCGGCTCACACGGCCCTAGTAGCTCAGGAGACCTGTGATCTGCTGCTGCGAGCGGGAGACCCAGGAGGCTGGTGGCCAGCTCTCGTCTGCATCCTGAGGCAGCGAGCGCACGAGAGGCTCTGGAGGGAATTCTTCCTCTGCCTTTCTGTTCCTTTCGGGCACCCGCCACGCTGGGTGACACGCTCGTTCACGTCGGGGCCAGCCTGCCTTTCTTAGTCCACTGATTCAAACGCTGTCTCAGTGGAAACGCCCTGACAGGAGCACCCAGAAACAGTGTCCACGCAAGTACCTGGCTGCCTCGCGATCAGTAAAGTCACAGATAACGGAACATGGTGTGGGAGAGTGTCCTCCTGGCCCAGCTCGGGCACAGGCCGCAGGAGCGCTCTGGGGGCTCGCATTCGGTGTCGGGGTCCTGCCTGAACTCGGGGGTGTCCGTGAGCCTTGATGCTGAACGCATCGCCACTGGCCGGGGCGGTGGCGATGAAAACCTTGAAGAGTGCCATCAAGGCAAATAAGCGAGTCTTTTAAAAGAATCTTCTCTACTAGGAAGCGTGTATTAGTGCAGTTAAAATTCATCAGCACATGTAGGGGTCTGACAGTAACTCTCAGCATCTTTCTGGCAGTCAAGGACTTGGCTGGAGTTCCGTGAGCTGCCGGCTCGGTTTTGCCGTGCAGTGACTGTAACCCTTGCTGGGAAGTGGGTATTTAGCAGAGAACCTCGTCATCTGTGAGCCCAGTTCACGGGCCGACACAACCATTCCTCAGTGTGGACTTATTTTTCCTTGTTCTATGATTAGGAACAAAATTGATACCTTGAACTTAAGCTCATCACCTCCCTGGGTGGGGGGAAAGGCACCCTGAGGTGAGCAGCGCCCTGCCCTGCAGCAGGCTCCTGCGGACGGACGAGCTCCCGGTCCCTCCTCTGCGGGCACTCTCCTGGAGCTGGCCCTGGACCTCAGTCCCAGCAGTGGCAGGCGTGGTGGCCACTCTGGGTGTGGTCAGTGTGAGGAAATTGCTTCTCCTTCTACGACAGGCAGGTTAACAGTGACCTTGGGAAACTTGTAGGGTGCCCCCCGAAATGCTTAACTTGTAGTTAGACTTCCTTTAAGTCCAACCTCCCTTGCAAATACTGCTGTAAAAGTGCTCATCTTAATGCTTTCTTGGTTTTTCCTTGCATGGTTTCCCTCACTTGCTTATAAAATGAAAAGAAAAAAGAATCTTCTTCCAAATAGCATCTCATCCATGAAAAAATGAAAGGCCAGTGTCCAAAGGCCTGTGTCGCAGACTGAGTTGAAGCTGTCCAGGTGGTTGGAATAGAAATACAGAAATTGTTGGAGAGCTTTTCTCATCTGAAGAACGATTTTGTTTTTTTTTACTTCTGACCTTCCTCTTTCTGTTTCTCTCTCTCTTTTTTCAAGTTTTGTTATTTCATCTGTGTGTGAGGGAGAGAAGAAAAGAGATGGGTCCGTCTAGCAGGGTCCCCACACTGCAGTCGGCTCTGTTTCTCTCCACCCACTGTCAGCCAGACTGAATCAGTGGCATGCAAGAGGCTTACTCGGGGAGCTCAGGCCTTGAACCGAGAACCCATCGCATACGGGTCCGTTGCAGCGCTGTGTCGTCCCCTTGCTACCACATTGCCTTGGGGTGTGCGCTTAGCAGACTGCCACGCGAGGGGGAGGGGTAGAGGTGGAGAGACAGCACCTCTGCGACCCCTCGCCTTCATTTCTCCGTCTGCTGGAATTCGGGGCACACGTGCATGTGCACACAGTGGTTTTTTCCCATGCCACCTAATCCAGGACTTCAACTGTAAGGCTGGCCATGTGGGTCTGGCTCCTTAACCCCTGTCTGTGGGTCAGCTCCCCACGTACAATTTTATTACTTAATTTAATTTAATTATTTATTTGGAGGTTTTTGCTACAGGGTGCATGTGCTCACAGAGAGAGAAACAGAGACAGAAAGTGAGAAATCACCCCTCAGGGGGGATGGCCATGTCGTAATCCCTTCTCCTCTCGGGATCTTGGGCATGCACGCACACGCGCCTGGTGTGAGTTTAAGCCGTCAGGTCTAGGACTCGAACTGTGGTCTATTACATGGGAGTTCAGCAACATAACCATTACGCTAACTGCCTGGTCCCCCCACGTATGATTTTAAAGCAGGAATTGAATGGGTTGATAACATATAAAGGAGCCATTTTCTAAGAACAGAGAATACCAAATGGAATGAAAAGATTTTGTTGAACTTTCAGCAGTGTCTTGGGAAATCAGGGTACAAGGTGGGTCTGACACAGAGCTGAGGATGCGATGCAGACTTCGGAACTCTGAGCAGGCGGTGGTTCTAAATCCAACGGCATGGGCAGGATCATGTCAGTAGAAACTACAGAGTCAAGAAAGCGGGAAACTTGGGGAGAAATGTCTTTTGAGAGAGAGGGAAAGTGAGAAAGCACCCTCCGGGTGGCCGGTCACACGCCACTCCTCCTCCGTTCTCTGGGTTTGGGGCAGGCATACACACACACCTGTGTGTCTTAGAACTGCCGGGTCCAGGGCTCAGCCTGCGCAGCTGGGATGTGCCGGCCTAGCCACCGTGCCGCAGCAGGCCCCACGCAACCTCCGAGAGCCCTAAGTTAGTGTATTGAGGAGGACGGGGTTCGGGACGGAGGCTAGAGGAGTGCTCACAGTGGCAGGAAGAGAGCCTTGGAGAGAGTGTTTCAGGAGGAGGGAGTGGCCAGCAGTGTCACGCTCTTGAGCGGGTTGATGAGTAAGTTCTGAGACGTGCCTTCTGGATTCGTTTCAGCGGGGCTGTAGATTCTTTGGGCACAATGTTGTTGCTTCTTTTTGTTGTTGTCGGTTGTGTTGCAGAAGTGTGACTGCTGAGCTAGTGTTTTCCCTCAGCCCGTGGGTTGGGTTTGTGTGCTTGAGGTAGGACATTGCCTCTCCCTCCCCAGTCTCTTCATTGGGTGATGACGTGAGAAATATCCTTAGGTTTCTGGTTTGGTTTTGTTTTCTTCTTGCCTAAAAGTAAAGTATATTTTCAATTTATATATATATATATATAGCCCTGTTTTGTATCTGGCAAGGTTAGGCTTTTTTTATTCATCATTTTAGCTCTATTGCATTTGTTACTTTTCCTAATTGATTTTATATGAATCTTCAGTGTATTATAAGTTGCGTATTTATTTTCACTTCTCCATTGTAAAGCTTTCCTGATGCTAAATTATAAGAGCAATTTATAATGTAAATTCCTTGATTTAAGGAATGGCATAAAAACTATGCTTTCACCATTTTGGAACCATTACCCAAGAAACTTTCTGAATTTTGAAGTTTGTACCATCTGAAGCTATCAAAAGTAATGTTAGAACAAATACAGTTAATTCACTTTTAAAACTTAACCATAATGGGGACCAGCAGTTAGCGTAATGGCTATGTTGCTGGACTCCCATGGTTGACCATGGTTCAAGTCCTGAACCTGGTGGCTTAAATTCATGCCGGGCGCATGTGCGTGCCTGCCCAAGATCCCAAGAGGAGAATGGAGGAAAAAGGATTGCTGCGTGGCCATCCCCCTGGGGGGTGATTTCTCGCTTTCTGTCTCTGTCTGTCTCTGTCTGTCTGGTAAGTGCATGAGCCCTGTAGCAAAAACCTCTCAAAAAAAAAAAAAGAAAAAAAAAACCTTAACAATAATGAACATTTTTAAAGGGCTTAATAGGTTTAGAATTTTTTGCAGAGATAAATATTAAATATATTCTACATATGAACTTGTTAGTGGCATTCTTTTCTATAATCATTTCACTTACGTGACTCATACGTGTTTTAGATGGGTAAGATGATACTCTAATGGAAAAGTAATTCAGTGAATCTCTCTCTCTTTAGATATGGAGTATGAAGCAAGATACTTGTGTCCATGATTTGCAAGCACATAACAAAGAAATCTACACGATCAAATGGAGCCCGACTGGGCCCGGGACAAGCAACCCCAATGCCAACCTCATGCTAGCGAGGTGGGCTCCTGTTCTACCTTCATAGACGGCTCCCGTCCTGTGCCCTAGGAGGAGCGCTGGCCTAAGGGGAGCTCCGTGTTTATTCAATGTGCTCACCCGCCCGCCCATGGGACGTGGCTGTGCACAGTCTGTGCTCCGCCCCTCCCTCCCCCCTCCCTGCTCTTCCTGCTCCTCCCGTTCCCCC